GTCCTTGAAGTAAGCCGCCGCCTACCATTCAATGCGCTCGCCACCCGCTGCCTTTGTTTGTTGGCACGTTGCTGGTGACACAATACCGTCCATTGAGCATTTGCGTTTGTGCGCGATGCCACCTTGCCGACGGTAGGTGCAAGGGAATCTAAAGGAAATGGAACGAAACGAAACTCATTGACAAAATTGTACGACAATGCTGTTAAGAGTGTTAACGAAGAAAAGGACCAAAGGTGATGGGGAAGAAGCAACAAAAAACAGTTGACTAAGTATAATGCGACAAACGCAAAAAGAGCTCAACTTCAATACGCACGTACCATATACTCGTAGATGCATGAGTAAGCCTGCTCTGCCTCAAGGCATTCAAAGCGTTGAGAAATCGATTACACACCGAAACGCGTCCTACGACACCAAAGAAGACGACGAGCTCAAAGTCGGCAACCGCGGTGGCAAGGTGCAAACAACATTTGCCAATATTGACACACACACACATGTATATATGTATGTAGTATTAATGTGCGATTGCAAGTCTCCATTTGTATGCGCCATGTTATGGCCAGCACTTCCGGTCTACTTTTTCGCAACATTTAAAACAAACAGCGCAACGATTTACTCCCTCAAGGCAAATGCCCTTTCATGGGAGTATTTCAATTTGAGTTTTCGTTTGCTTTACGCCTCCCTCGTGTGTTTACAGTTTCTTTTCGTGTTGCATTTGTGGGAGTCTGTTGCGAACTAAAAGCTTAATATTCACTTGTGCAAAAGTACATATACGAGTATTTGTCCATAGAAATGGGGTTCGCATGGGCTTTGTAGGATGGCTGCCGGAAATAAACAGAAACTTTCTCACGAAAGCGCAAATCAATTATGCTGTTCTAAAAACTTTGAGGCAAACTAAACAAAATATACGCGTATTTTTTGCTTTACGAAAAGTAACATCAACAGGTTATTGTTTTTGTTATTGTCGTCGTATCCATCTAAGTCGGTTGCCCATCAAACCCCGACGAGGTTGGACCAGATGAGTGGGCATGTGAAAAGACACTCATTTTTTATATCGAGGTCGAGTCTGGATGAGTAAAAGTTCAGACGGATACAGTATCCAGATCGAAATCGGACCAGAGTGACGCGTGTCTCATGTGGAGGCAGGAGCTCGTTGTCTGCAATAGGTGGATATTGGGCTCATATCACGGCATTCGTAAGTCGAGAGTCGCTTTCCTACGACAGCCGGTTCTACCTGCCGGAATGACTAGGGATTTTCCTCGACCGAAGGCTTTTCTTTTGTCTGTTTTGATCGGCAAACACCAAAATCGTTTTTCAACAGATTATTATCACGTAAAAGAACGTCCCACAAATTTGATATGAAAGACATGTAAGAAATAACGCGTCCTTGGTCGAGGTTCTTTTTAACGCGGATAATTTTTCGACTTATCAATCTATAGACCTTTGCTCTATGCGTGGCGCATGAAATTTATAATTACTAACTTATAGCAGCTGTTGCTCGGCGATCTCGAAGCCACGAACACAATTCCACCACAAAAAACTCCCCATCCTCTAAGATACGATGGGTCATGTTAGGCTGTGGTGGTTGCTTTCATTCAGGTCTCGGGCGGAGGCACACTCATTCCTAAGCAGGCTCCGTTGTGATACCGCTTCATTGGCTAAATGTTAATTCGGACAATTGTTTCGGTGACCTAAACCTGTTTAGATCGGCGAACCCTATCAATAATTTTTCGTACCACAAATTTGATATAAAATAAATAGCGCATATTTGGCCGCATGGGATTTAAAAGTGTTGTCTTAAAGCAGCCGCTCCTTGCCACCACAAAACACGTCACAACCTCTAAGATAATGTAGAATGGATGAGACTGTGGTGGTTGCTTCAGATCTCGGGCGAAGGAACACTTGTGCCTACTGTTGGCTTATAGCTAGCATATTTGCATCGAGGATGTGTTCGAAAGACAGTTGAAAAATTACTGATGACTTGTGCTCACAAGTAAAAGGTTAATTCGGAGTTACCTTTTTCTCGGCGCACATAAACGCAATTGTCAATAGAGTACAGAGCCGAAACAAGGTCCTCAGATTTCTAGTCGGCAGCACCTAAGGCAAAGACAAGGAAACGTTGTTGGCACCCTACAAGGTAATTAGCCGGCCAGCCCTAAACCATGCTTGAAACTACAGACTTGCCAAAAGACGGCACATCGGACCGCCAAGGGATGACTTACGTGACCGAATACTCCCCGTCAAGGCGCACAATATCATGCTGTGCAAGCAGTTACTAGTGGGGTCATCTATACGAGCTGACTGACGAAGTCCAGAGGTTCATAACACATCCACTGGACCCAACAACGTACCTACAGGCCATAAACGGCATTCACAGGGATTCGGTCTCAATCAAATTTGGGGTGCTACCCCTCACTTCATTCCTACAGTTCATCTTTTGTTAACACAAGAAAATGTATCGTAAACCAGAGTTTGTACGGTTCCAGCAGAAAATTCGCTTCGTAAGAATATGATAGGTGTAAAGAATTTTGTAATGACACATTGAAGGTATAAAGGGAAGAATGCTTTGGAAGTTCGACAAGAAAGATGTAATCTAAGCGCGAATATTTGCGCACCTCGGATGGCCCATTCTGCCTATGTTAAAATACAATGTCAGCCGAATCTTTTGGGAATAGATCTATTTATCTAGATCTAGATAAAGTTAAATGCTGTTTTGTATGTATCTGGAGGGGGTCGCTTCATAGGCATGTGCAGCATATCGCCACCACTGGGATTTTAAATTGGACATTTCATAAACGGCTTGCCTTGGCGTGCTCTACGCTTTCACCATCGAATTTCTTCCATAATTGTTTGAGTCTTTCTATGGATTTTTTTGCTTTTGAGGGACTCTTCTTAGAGTTGGCAGGGACCGCTGCGAGATATTCTTCCTACGTTGGCCTTCAGGGGTTTTAAAATTCCCCTTAAATCTTTCTCAAAGGAAATTCGGTGTTTGGGGTAGACGGATTTTTATTCTAACCAGAGTCTTACATCCAGAACTACCTTTAACAAACACAAAGCTACAGAAAAATCTAAACGTTCTCGTTGTTGTTGTTGTTGTAGCAGCATACAAATTCCCCAAAGACTTTTTGGGGAGTGTTGCTGGAGTGACAGTCCTTGGCCAGATATAAATCTGGGTCGTTCCGGTTACGTAGACCCGACTGTCGTGGGAACGTAAACGTTCTCGTAGACAAGTCCCATGTAACCTTGAAGAAAATACCGAAATCAGTCTATCACAGCTCAGGACCCTTTGCTGAGATCGGTGGTATAAGATAACACTTAAAAGTTCTGCAGAACCGCCACCACTTTTACAGCTTTATATCAGAGAAATGCTGGATAACGGTCTGAAAAAGGCTAGAGTAGGTTCTGTGAGTTCAAGTTTGTCCAAGATTGGTATGTGTTATACATAAATATATCAGTGGTTATAAATTATTACTCTCCCGGAGTTAAAATTCAGACATTGATTTATAGTATTAAGAGGTCGGATGAGAAATAAGCCAGGGACTGTCCCAGAATGCAAGCTTACATCGTATTGTATTCAAACTCCCCAATCAATCAAAAAAATATTTTTCAATTTCTTAAAATTATCATTCACTCACCTTGATCAATTTCTCGCGTATCTCCCAACTGAATATACCCGGATTCGCTTTACGCAACTCCTCGATACGCGCCTCGATTTCCGGCGATGTGACTTTCGGTTTGGAACCGCCTATTACACCCGGTCGTATTGAACCAGTTTCCTGATAACGATTCAAAATTTTCGATACACAACCATGCGAAACGCGTAGTTGGCGGGAGATCACACAAGGCCGTATGCCATTGGCGGCCATTTCGACAATTTTCAAACGAATGTGATTCGGTAGCGGTCGTCCGTTGATGAATACGCCGCCAAGCTGATTGACGCGTCCTTGACCTGTAGAAGAAGTGTTTCGTTTATAAGATTGTAAGTTAATAAACTTTTTGTGTAAATAAGTTAGCATATTCATAAATTATACACAAATTACAACTTTGGTATGGTGTTGGTAAATACAAGAAAAAGAAGAGATAAACCCAGAAGAAGTTGTACCTAAATGATCAGCAAGACAAGCTGACTTAGCCATGTCCATGCCCATCTGTATGACTGTCCGTCTGAATTTTTTGACTGAAGTTTGGTATGGATGCTGGGACACTGCGGAGTTCAAAGCATCGAACTGGCTGTTGAGTTGTCCCACTGCGGTTCTTTGGAGCGTCCAATTGAACCGGAACCAATTTTAGGGCCAAACATAGCGGGAACATTCGGTACTGACGCCTACGAAACAACCTGAATAGGACTGACGGGGTGGAATGGGTCGGGTGTTTTGAGAATGGACGAGGTACACTCTCTTTCTCTCTATAAACTGCTAAGGTTTATAAAATAGTCTGGTAAATTTATATATATATAAATTCCCACCCAACCGTCTTTGTATAGCTTTTAAATAATCTTTTTATACCTTAAATACAATGGGCAATATTGCCTGAGTGCTTGCAAATTTTATTTTATTTTTGGAGTTTACGGCCACCCACAATTCCAAGCCTTTCCATTCCAATGTCCTTAGCACGATGCATATTGATGTCTTTCAGTGCGGAAAACAGTCACGATTTTAGCACGAAATGTGTACTCAGTTAGGAGCATAATATAACGAGTAATTCTGCATCACTGATCGTTTTTTGAGCTTTGACAGTCTCAGTAAATAGGCGATATATTTTAGAGAGATACATTTTTTGGAGCCGCCGCTGGATCTCATTAGACTCGCGAAGCCGGATCTAACGATTCTGGTGGGTGTACTGACAGGCCACATCCTCATCGGGGTACACGCAGTGACAATAAATATGGCACCAGACCCTTTATTTTGCTGCTGCGCGGAGGATGTCCATATGGAATCACGTCAGCACCTCCTCTTAGATTGCCCAACCTTTGCTAGCTTGCGGCTCTGGCAAATGGGTTTTGCCTTCCTAGTTTGTTCGGAGCAGCTCTCCGGGACTAACTTCGCTCTCGGCACGCAGCGATTCCCACTTTAACATAACATTTATCCAGTGGTTTGCCATTCGGATGACACAAAATTTTAAAATCTGAGCCACTAGGCAACTACAAACTCATTCAAACGTAGAGATAAGCGGTTGCAATCTGAAATACTCCGCTCGACAAGTCTCTCGTCTTACCCGTTCTTCTATATAGGGCAGAAACGTGGACGATGTTGAACAAAGACTAGAAGGCTTTGTGTGCTTTCGAGAGAAGTATTCTACGCAAGATCTATGGCCGGTTCGCATGGACGACGGGTTTAGAAGAAGATGGAATGACGAACTGTATGAACTTTTTAACGACAGGGACATAATTAAGCGCATAAAAGTACAGCGATTGTGCTGGGTTGGAAATGTTGTACGTATGTGATCCATATAACGGCGCTCCAGTGAAAAGATTCTTCGACTCCGCACCCATAGGTGGACAACGAAAGCAGAGGCGCCCACGAACAAAATAGAAGGACCAAGTGCAGAAGGACCTGTCTGCACTCCGGATGAGAAACTGGCGCAGACTCGCACAGGAGAGAGGCAATTGGAGAAGCTTTTTGGTCTCGGCTCAGCCTGACAAGCGGTTGTAGTGCTAAATGAAGAAGAAGGTCTGATATTTTTCCGTCGGAAAAACATCGTAAGATTTATTTGATCGTGAAAATAGGGGAATAGATGGCTTATTAAACCAATTTTTATGGACGCCTCCGTTATGACAGCGTTCGGTGTGTTTTACGTCGACGATGGCCTAACCAGACGGTGCTCATAAATACAGCGTATGAAATCAGTGCGTTCGTCAGCGCCCCAAAATGCAAACAGGTACAGGATCTGCAGTGCGGAATGGACACAATCACATTGACAGGGATCGAGGCCAATCGAATCCTACACCCGCATTCGGGTGTTAAGCCACAGCCTCTACGATACGCTCCTAAGGTCCGTGCCGCATGAGCAGGTTGGAGCAAGCAACAAGATTCATCGCTAAGTTTTATCAATTCGTGGGGATTGGGCTGTCAATGGCAAATAATTTTTACCGCCATTAGGAAGCTACAAATAAAATAATGTAAAAAAAAATATTTTTTAAAAACAAGCTTTTATTTAA